AAAACTCTACGAACTTATGTTACAACCCAATACATATAAGAACATTTCAAGGGAGCAACTCCACTTTACAGATATAAGAAAATGGATTGTCCAGAAGAGTCCAGAGATCTAATTGCAAGCCAAAAATTTCGTGTCGTCATCGGTCTACAAGCTTTTGCCAGTCTTTTGGCTGCTATATTTGGAACTATTGTGATCAGGAAATGTACCGGCCTTTATTTTCATGTCAACTGCAAGGTAAGTGATGTGAATCCGCTGGAGGTAGTGAGTTTCGCCTGCTTCTGTTCTTTGTTGGAATAAAACGATTCCAAGCAGGCTCAGACCATTTTTTTAGTTTGTGTTGTGGGAAACACTGTCCCTGGCTCCTGAAGAATTGATATGTGTGTGTTAATGTCAGGGCGGGCAGCCGTTAATGTCCTGAAATGGCCATGTACGATCATTTTAAGAGTCAAAGATTCTTCCCACCACATAAGTTGTAGGACCTACCTGATTACGGGCGTTGGTTGGCCTTCATCTGTGTATAGAACATCCGAAAAGACAAAGGCAATGTATGTACAGCCAGAAAAAAATAGGTATTTCAGATTCTCATTATATCAACATTATTATTGTATGTAATACATTCTGTTCTTATGGCCATGCTACAGGTAAGTACTTCAACTTTTTTCTCAATCTTTGGCATCATTTTATGACCAAAAACTCCGAAAAAATCTCAAATCCTAAAATATCTAATGAATGGCATCTGGAAGTGATTTGATTGATGTTACACTCACTTGGTTCCACGATACCCCGTACATTTAGAGAAGATCTATCCTAAGTAGAGAACTTCGCCATCGAAATACAACCATGTATACAGTAATCCCACCAAATTCAGCGGACGGTTTGAACTGACCAATTAAACTTATGTCTCGAATGTTCACCCTATCTTGGCTCGTCTTTCATTCTGCCAGACCCGATTTCTCGGATATTACGGAAGTATGCATATTAAGTATGGGAAAAATATTGATCTATATTGTGTTCAGATCAAAGCCTAAAAAAAACAAAAGAGCTTAATAGTGTTCAGTAACAAAATTATTTAGTCACTTCATCTGTATCTCTATTTATCCCATGCGAATTCATGCGAAATTGCCATTTCAACAGCCTTCTGCTTCGCCGTGAGATTCCCTACAACTGTCTGTATGACATCCTTCGCAGTTTTGCAGGTAAATTGACGCTTCATACCTTAGACAGTAGAAATGAAGATTTCATGAAAACTTCAACAGTGAATGGGGTTTCTGCCAACGATTTTGCCAAAACTTCAGCGGCTACTAGGGTTTTCCAACCCCTCGGGAGAACTTTGAGGAAATGGCATGGTTCCGAAAATTTGCCTCGGGAATTTCAAACAAATAAATTCCAGCGAATTGGATAGGGTCGTAGTTATGGAACTGTGAAGGAAGAATCGCTCGACTGGCATAGATCTTCGAAAAAAATCAAGTTCTTTTTCAGGCGGGCATGGTTGTTGAACGAGCTCTAGCTTTGTGGAAACGAAATGGTTATGAACAATATGGATGTTGGCTTGGATTAACGATTTCTCTTTGTTGTGTGAGTATATTTAAGTTACTTTGGAAGGTATTGTATATTGTATTATTGTAACTAATGAAGACGAAGAATGGAAAACAAGATGGAAAGCTGGTGTTCAGCTGGTCATTGACGTCCTTTACTTATGTTTAACGACGAATAAGAGTAGTCCAATGGTAGAGAAGCCTTTGTCGTTGTATCCATCTGGTTAGTGGTATCGCACCCTCTTTCTTATCGTCGACTCATAACCATCGCGCGAGCGCGCAGGAAGATCCCTACAACAGTGAGTCCAGGTCTACAGTGAATACGACACCCGTACTCATATAAGGTACTATGACCCGTTGTTATCGTTGTTCCGCCGGAGGTGGGTTACCGTAGTCTGCAGTCAGCCCTTTACATAACATAAGAGGGCCTACGGTCTAAGAG